ATTTCATATTATACAACTTGCTAAACTCTATATGTCAGTGACTACGTACTCCGTACCTACATAATTTAAATCTCAATAAGTGAACTAATATAATAGAAATAAGAGTTTACTTTTTTTTGAATTGTTATATAAAATAAAATATTAATATTATAATTATATTATTTGTAATAATATTAAAACTTTCAACCTTATAATTGATATTGTAAGGTTGTGCCAGTTAAGGTAGGTACACTACAATTACACAGTTTAGGTTCACTTAAATTACATTGCAAATCTGCATACAATTATTGGATATATTTATACATTATACATATGAATTGAATGCAGTAATTTAGTCATAGTGGCAAGTAGGTAAATAATAATTAATAAGTAAGACTAAATAAGTTTAATTGTGTCATAACAATTTTTTAGTTGAAATTATACTTTAATGGAGCTAAAAAGAGTCAAAGCTAGTGGTGTATGCAATGGTAAGGAGGCAAAAACAAAAGAAGGAAAAACCTAATGAAGTTATAAGAAAAACAAACGAAATAAATACCATGTTTAAACTTAAAAGAGAAGAGCATAGTGAGAAAGTAGAAACCATAGTTTGGAATTCAAAGTAAACACATATTTAGTGATTTGTGATTCTATAATAGAAGAATTAACAAGTCGAAAGTTAGCTTACGATAATGTCATAACAAAGTATAGTTTTTTTTTAAGACTCACAAAGATAAAACCATCAGAAGTACGTGTTTTAGCTGAACATTTGTACTCAATGTATACAAAAGATTTGGATGTAACATTTATTAACGAATGTGTTCATTTTCAAAGTTATATTCAAAGTATGAAAAATTCTCCATTAACTATAGGTAATTGATATGAGTTATATGTTAAAAATAGAAGGATCAGAAGACATTTACCCGTGTGTTAGTATTGCTTTGCTTATACATGTTTTTATGTACCTACTCCCTGTTCAAACTGTACCGCTGAACGGTCATTTTCAACTTTACGCTGAATAAAAACTACCTAAGGTCAACAATTTCTAAAGAGAGATTAAACTTACATGCAATATTAAATATTGAATCAGAAATAACAAAACAAATTAAATATGAAGATATTATAGATCATTTTGGTGATATTTAATCAAGAAAAAATTGTAAAATAAACAATAAATATTATTATATTACTATATTATAGTACATATTATTAATTTTATATCATTCTTTATTATTTGAATCATGGAAGATTCTAGGTAGATAGTACCTAAGACCTAAGTTATAAACTAGTTACTCATGTTTTTTTGTATAGTTTACCTACTGTTAAAAATCTAATATTGGAATGCATAGGTACCTAGTTAAAATTGCTAAAAATTAACTGCAAATTAAATTTCAATGAGAAAGGGAAACATAAAAAATGAATTAATGTTATGCCCCCCCCCCCCAAAAAAAAATAAAATTTAGCCACCACTTCTATGGTATTAAAAAAAATGTGTTGGAAAAGGGTGCCATAAATATTGTGCCCGGGGGCGAAAAATCCCTAAATACGGCCCTGAACCTAGGTTACAACTTAATACATTGATACATTATACATTAATATAAACATTAATATATTATGAACTACAATTAAGTAGGAATTAACCGTAGAACTGTTGTAGAAGTTCTTCCTTTCACTGACTAATATAAAATGACTAAATATTGAAATAGTAGTATCTACCTACCTATAAATATGACGACTGGCGGGACTAAGGGAGTCTTTAAAATATAATAAATTTAGAATCCTAATTTTAACTATAACATGCAGCTAATATTTAATAATAATGATCGATTTTCAGAACTACCATGTTGATAATTGACTTGCGTGCCGAGATGGTTGTATGAGCAGCAGTATAAACAATTATCAACACAAATAAAAACACAATATTATCGGCTACTAACTGTTCTTAAAATATCATTCCGGGCCTAATATTACGTAATATTATGACGAGTTATTATTCTTAAACACTTGTAAATGATAATTGTAATATTTATATAATATACAATACCTACAAATAGTATATAGTCACTAATCACTATAATGGACTTATAGTAATAAAACTATTTTGTGCATATTCTAGTAAAATGTAAATTATTAAGAATACCAATAAATAATAATACCATATTACCATATATATATATATTATATGGTATATTTTATTCTGGATTTCGCGCCCCTTTTTTGTTGCGCCCCTGGCCTGGGCCAGTCTCGCCAAGCCCTAGCTACAGCTCTGTATATGTTCGTGGAGACCATGTGCATTTTATTTGTGTGTACACTAATATTAGTGTTTACTCATTACTGTGTTTAGTTATACTTTGATTCTTGATGTGCACTGTGCCGTAAAATATTATGAGACATTATTACAATTAACTTTATTCGTATCGATATCAATAATACAGTTATTAATTTATAATTGTAGAATTTATGTTGATATTAATAATTTGTTGAAATAAATAAAAAGGGGTACCTACCTACTGTTCATATTTCACTATTTCAGGGCACTAATTGTTACAGACTTGACCAGAAAATAAAGTCTTCGAACTTCCATGTTTAAGCCTATCAATATGCTTCAACAATTATGACATACGTGAATAAAAAAAAAGTATTTCCTTCCTTAATAACTTTGTAATACAATGTTTGCCGTTTGGTTTCTTAACATAAATATGTTTTTGGTATGGATACAATTTTCTAATTGTATAAGAAATAAGCTATATATTTAGGTAGGTACTGAATAGTCTATTCCCCTATTCTATTATTATAATATTATTTTTAAAGTAGTTTATTAACTAGTACTATGTAGCCATGTAGGTACCTACTAATGTACTATATAAACTATATACCTACCTGTTTAAATCATCTACTAGTTTTTTTCTGGGACTTTTATAGTAGATTCGATATAAACTTGGACGATAAGAAATAAAAATTGTGGTTTTCCGTAGAAAATATGGTCAGAGAATATATAAAATTATGACTCTATTTGTTCAGTTTTTTAGACAGTCATTTTTTACCACATATACCTATGTGTGATTGTTAGGCTGTCATATGTGTTTTTTATTTTAACTAACCTTGTTTTCACTCATTGAATATCTATTGGTTATTTGATCGTACCGAATTATGTAAATTATATGTAACTACTAACAACTTTACAACTATATAGGTGCTAGGTAGGTATGTAAAATGTAAATCATAATTTGTATTTGTACGATGGAAACCATATAGTTGGTCATTGCGGGAACAGGGAGCCGGGAGGTATGACTGTGCGAGGAGCTACGCCTGATGCCCTACGTTTTTTTAAATTAATTATATAAGAGACCTAAGTCCCCCCCCCCAAAAAAAAATATATACCTTTTCATGCAGGAATCTAAGACGTTTCCCCACCTGATTCATTGAATGTTTCCGCCCAAAATAGGACAATTTTCCTAACCAGTTCAAAAAATAAATAAAAGTAAAAATATTAAATAATACCTAATATAATAAAGTACAATGTAAATCAATAAATGTACCTACCTACTGTTTACGACATTTTTTATTAAACTATATAGATAGGTAGTATAAAACATTAACCTATAATTATTATGTGTAAAAAAAATATATTGATGCGGGAAGGGGGGGAATATCTCAGTCCAAAGGGATATATCCAGTACCACTAAAATCCATGGCGGGATAGGCAAGGGGGGAAACGTCCAAATATCTAAATGCAGTTTATTTCCCCCTTAACAATTTGAATTTTTTTATCGGAACTTAAATATCACGACCACTTAAGAACGATGGTGCAATCAGAATTTTTCGCTTGGACTTGGTTTCGAAGTTATAACCTCATGAAGTTGATGATTTTACAATTTTGAGTAGGTACTTATACGCTACGTACTATGCTAGATGTACAAATAAAAATAAAAATTTGGTAATCCTAAAAAGAACTGTTTTAAATTTAGCAGTTGAATAAGGAATTATTTTTAAATAAATGAGTACTGCATGGTGCAGTGTAGAATACTAGAATATATTTGTATGAATATTGTAGTACCTGAGTCCTAAGTACACCTAACTTTCGTTTTTTCAAACTTTATTTCTGAACTAAAGCCTTGTTAAACAATTTGATGCCTGTAAAAATTCTAAAGGGTGTAGTTAATACAAACGCATTTCGGAGTATTTATATGATTGACGTTATGGTTATAAATTATAATAGGTATCTATATTACCAAAGTCAAGTTGTAACTTAGCCCAGATTCTTTCTTTATAGCCTTATAGGAAATGCAGCTTATGCAGTATAGTTGTTGATGAAAATATTCTCTAACTCATAGATTAGATATAATAATAAAAATTATCATAAAATTTCCAACACGTGACGGTTACTAGTAGTCCAGTGGCGTAGCCAGTAGCGGATCTGAAGCTTGTTTAAGGAGGGGGCGAATTTGTATCATAAATTGATAGATGCTATACTCCGTTCAGCGAAAGAGAACGCCACGGCCCGACGAAAATCGGTTAGCTCCTCACGTACCCAGCCTTTCCAAGCCATACGTGGACCGCCCAATATGCATGCTCTCTCGCCAGAGTATAACAAGGACGTAACTGAAAACACATTTCCGGGGGTAGGGACTAGGGAGCTCCAAATTTGTTATAATATACTTCACATTGACATTTTGGGATAAAAGTTTTCAAAATTTAGTTTCTAAGTTCTAACAACCCCATTCTCAACAGTTTGCTGTATACATCTTTAAATTATTTGACAAAATAATTTTTAAATTATCTAAAAATAGAAAAAGCCTAAAAATAAATATTTCATAAATATTTCAACATCTGATAAAAAAAAAAGAATAGAATAAACAGTTATAAAAATTCAACAGTCTTTTAATCAATATTATAAACAAATGTATTAATCATATTATAATAGTATACTTAGGGCCGTTCTTACAATGTCCGGTAAAGTGGCGGTTAGCGTTAACCGACACTTTACCGGACATTGTAAGAACGGCCCTTAGTATTATAATTTATTAGAGCAACAATTTTATTGTTCTTTTTTTGCCAGCCGCAAACCTGTCAATGATTTTTTCGATGTCAATACTTATGTCTCTATGAGTATTGAGTAAAGCTAAGCTAGTTAATCTTTCCTCACCCATGCGTGACCTCATCCATGTTTTTAATCTAATAAACAAAGTAAGAAGCAAAATACTATAAGCAGGAAAGCATAATATGGTTATCAGTTTGGCTTTGGCAGGAAAGTTATAGGAAGTAAAATTGCTAAAATATACACAAAACAATTTTAAATTTACATTAATTTTAAAAAAAATGCTTTAAATTATAAATGTGGCAATTTAAAAAAAAAATTTTATTATAAGCTCTCATGTGATTCTCTAACCTGCGTAAAGTAGAAAAACTACGTTCAGCAGAAGCAGTACTTATTGGCAAAGCAGCAAGAATAATAAGCAGTGACTTTATTGTTGGATAAATTGTTTCACAACATTCTTCCAATGCGTGAAACACATTTTCCGGTACAGATTGACCTAAAATACTCAAATTCGATATTATGAATTTATTCGAAGTAAGATTTACTATTTATTACTTTTCAAATCATAGCTATGCCATTTTTGTATCCATAAATCAATTTCCGACATCAATAGTACATCACTAACTTGAAGAAATGTGTAACTAGTTTTAATTTTCTGTACCATAATATTAGTGCTAATAGTGCTATTAATATTCTGAGACCATTTAGTTAAGTTTTTTGGAATAAAATATGTCAATGTTTGAATTGTCTGGTTTTCCTGGCCATAAAACCTTCGTTTTAAGTCTTCAATAATACTATCCAATAGAGGAATAAAAATTGTTATTTTATAATAATCTTCACAGTTATTGATGTTACTTGGATTTGGTCTATTTTTTTGATTAACGTTCAGTCTAGGTAATTTTATTTCTACATCTAATTGGTCCATTATAGATTTGCATTCACTATAAATATTTTTAAATAAAATATCACAATCAAAACGTTTTTTTTCCAATATTTTCACTATATCTTCCACTACATTACTTGCCGATAATATATCCTGATTCTTCCCTTGTAATGTTTTACTTGCGTGATAAGTTACAGAGAGAACTGATGATAAAGAAAATATTGATATTATAAATTCACAATTCTATGATTAATGAATATAATATATAATTCAAATAAAAAATAAAAAGCCCAAGGGGGGGGGGGTAATCGCCACGTCGCCCCCCCCCAAATCCGCCACTGGGCGTAGCCAGAATTATGAAATGGGGGGTGTTCAAGTATAGATTAAAACCAAGTTTTTACTGTTTTCATATATAAATAAATTTAGGGTTAGGGACTTGACTTGTTGCACTAAAAATTATTGAAATATGCAGTCAACATTTTCAAAATATGCTTAAATATATGCAGCTACATTTTTATATTATTTTTGAAAAATTCATAAAACATAATACAATTTTTGTAATAAAAAACTAAAAAATAAATAGGTATATAAACATGATAAAAATAATTTAATCACGGATATACAAATTTTAATATAGGTAGGTTAGCCTATAGATACCTATATATTGATTAATATGATGGACGGAGGACACAGCTATTGCATGTTTTGGACATTTTTAAACTATTGTGAAATAAAACTTGATTTTTAAAAATACTGGCAAAAATACTAGGTTAATAAATAAGTAATAACGAATAACGTGATATGCGAACACCGTGATAAATGAACACGTATCTACTGATTTTCATTTCTTCGTACAATCTAGAATCTAGATGTCGATTATAGTTTTAACACAGTCTTGTCACAAAGAGACTTATAAAATCTTTATATGCGAAAATAGGGTCCATGATATCTTCCCAAACGTTTACTAAATTTTTTTAAGCTTATTCAATTTTATAATAGTATGATTTTAGGCTTCGGCTTCCCCAAATCTCAAAATTAGCTCCTATTGTACCTAACCAAACATAATATTTTTAAAGATATTTTTCAATGTTGTCCAAATATAATTTTTCTCGACAATTGTATGTAAGTACCTACATTTAAGTTAAAAAAAATTCAATATATGCACAAATATACGAAAAATCACTCAAATGTACACTTTTCCTACAATATAAAAAAATATGCAAATTCAAACATCGTTTGATAAGACAAAAAAATTTCATAAGACAAATTTATAACTTATATAAAATAACCTACTACCACTACAATAAAACATGCAAGGAGTCCCGAACCCTATAAACAATATATTTATTAGGGGGAAAATGTCAATGGGGGGTGTTTAAACACCCAAAACCCCCCCTGGCTACGCCACTGCTAGTAGAATATATAATGTTAAATTAATATTGAATGATAGACCGTATCACGTATTATGAAGCATACGATTAAATTGATCTAAGTATAGGTATGTATGATATTATGATAATGATGTACCTACTTGGCTACTTCACCATGGTACAGGCTAGTATTTTGTATTTAACTACCTATCTAATGTACAATTATTAAGAAATTCATTTGAACATTTTTAGGGGTATTTTTAAGCATAGGCGGAGATTTGATCGAATTTTAGGGGGGACTTAAATATTTCTTTGCAAAATAAGCCGTGGGGGCCATACCCACATACCCCCACTCTAATATTGAATAATATCAATAATACTAGTAGTATATATTTGTATGTTCACAGTCCGTTTTTTGTATCACCACGGTAATTTCACAACGTTCAAGGGAGGATGTCCCCCTTGAACACAATAATTTTACCGTGTAAAAATTATGAAGAATTTACACACTTTTTACACGGTAATTTCACACCGTTCAAGGGAAGATGTTCCCCTTGTGTACAATAATTTTACCGTGTAAAAATTATGAAGAGTTTGCACACTCAAAGTCAGTTTTAACCAAATATTTACAGTGTACACGCTAAATAGTTTTTTTCTCAACATACCTTATTATTCACATTTTACATTTATGGTGGTTACACTGTAATTTATCTAATGAATGTCTTCATTTATATAATTTCAAGTTATAAGCTGATCATTTTCTCATATTCAGTTACTAATGATCCGCCGTTCACTTAAGTCGTGTCTCATTTTTCTTTATTTTCTTGAAGTTTTATTACATTGTATAAGTTATTTAATTTCTTCAAAAATGAATTTTCAAAAATGTTCAAATGATTTTGAATCATTAGTTTATCGTGTACAAAGAAATCCGACTATGGTTCATCCAACATTTTCTTCGTTTTCATCAAGATTTAAAACATTCAAATTATTCCCGTTAAATACTTCTCAAAATAAATATACATTGTCTGAATGTGGTTTAAAATATTCAGGAGTGGATGATGTCGTGGAATGCTTTTGTTGTGGTATTATTCTTCATAACTGGGAAAGGTTGGACGATCCATGGATTGAACATTGTAGATTCAGTCCAAGATGTTTGTATGTATTATTAATGAAGGGTGATCAGTATGTTCAAAATGTATTAAGCAAATATTGTAAAACCGAGCATATTCACAGTTGTGAATCTAAATCATACGATACTGTTTGTTGATCATGTTTTTTATTATATTATGTTATAGTAAATGCTAATCATGTTTTTTGTTATATGTTATAGTAAATAAAAATAAATGATGATTATTTTAAAACAACTTATATGTGTTATTATTTGATGTAATATCTCGTGAACGTATAGCCTAGTGGGTTAGTGCGTGTAGTGATAATTTAAATGTTTTCAGGTAACAGGTAAGTATAATATATAATTCTCCCCTTCACTGTATACAGTAGCCGACTATGCTATACGTTCACAATTTTTTGCATTTTTTTTTTATTTTTTTATTTTTTTTTCATATATTTTATCTATCAGGTTTAGTATATAATACGCTCACAAAGTAAAAATGTTTTCAGTTCAGAGTATATCCTTCATCGGTTATATTATTATATTATATGAAATTTAAAAAAAATAATAATTACGTTTTTTAGTTTAAAAGGTTTTTTTAATTATTAAAAAGAAAAGAACTATAAAATAAGTTTAATTCGTTATGAGTCTACCGGTGATTGTGTATAAATCAGTATTTGATATACGTCCATTTGGCAAGAAGAGTGTTACAGTCGGACTATTAATCACCAAACAAATTTCGATTATTGTGTTATTAGAATGCAAGTTAACGAAAAAAATTATTACATTAAATTTAGAGCAATGGTGTACGCTCATGTCTGAATCTAATTACATTTCAATTACTAACAACTTACATACCAGGTGTAAACGTGTAAGAATCACTGAGAACTTTACATATTCAATTAATGTGAAGCAGAGTTCAATAACCTTGTATATAAATGATAATTATATTACACTCTCACATATAGATTTCTGTAGACTTAAACAACTTCAGCATTGTGTAAACCTTTATATCATAGAAAAACAGAAACGTCTTCACAGTTTTCAAACAACATTTGATGCAGCTTATGAACTGATTAAAAACGATGTCCAAGGTTTACCCATCAGCTGTCAGAGGAACGAATTCACAAACCAGTATATTCAAAACTATGATTTTAATTGTTATTCTCATCTACTAAACGATGACACTTCATTTTTGTATGAAATATTACAATTTCATTTTAACGAAATGTCTGACATGATTTTACAGGACTTAATAGTATGATATAATACAAATTAATTTATATTTATGTAACGTTTATTTATCAAGTAAAAAATATTTTTATAATATTACACCCATCATGCTAAATTGTTTTTTATTGTTCGACGTTCAGGATCTTTTAAAATCATGTCGAATATGACCTGCATGGTCTCATTCAAACTCGTATTTATAGTCTGGTCTTTTGATTTGTCTGAAGTCGTTATCTTGACAGATGCCTCAGAGTGACGCCACCTGCAACATAAATTAATTATTCAATTAACTGAACAGTGAATAGAAACAGATTATTATTATTATTATTTTTTTTTCATTATAAACAATAGGTTTTTAATTAAAAAAGTAAACCAAAGTATATTATTTACCTCTCCTTTTGAGGAACATTTTTAATGTTTTTACACTTGTAGTGTGTTATTGTCCAGTAGTCGGTTCCCATCTCTTCTGGATTAAACCGACTTTTAATGGTAGCCAAACCATCTCCCTGTCGGAAAGTAACTGTATTGAAGATTTCTTCATCGTAATCTTCCGCCCGTAATTTATCCTCTAAGATTTCTCTGTAAGATGAACTCTTAAAAAAAATAAAAAAATAAATTCATGCTATAATTGATCACCTTAGAATATTAAATAAAAGTATTAAGATGATAACTTATTATTTATCTTACTGTTTTTGTCTGCTTAATCTTTTTATTATTTTTTTTATCAATCGCTTTTTCAGCTCCTCTTTTGTGAGCTGTCTTAGTTTGTTTTGAAGTCGAAGGCTTCATTTTCATATCGAATCCTTCAAAGTCGTTCTATAAAATAAACTTATATGCATAAGTTCTGTTAGAAAATAAATGTAGTAACATCCTGTAATCATTACATATTATTCACAATACATTTTACATTTTTATTCAATAATACATAGTTTTCTACATGATAAAACAACCGATATTTATATTTTACTGATCATTTGATATAAATCATTTTTTTATAATAAAAATTTTTTTTTTTTTTCAACATTTAAGTAAATACATTTTCAGATAATGAATTCCTACAATAATATTTTTGAACGAAATAGACTATTATAAACAAATGATTAAAAGTTATACGAAAACGGATAAAAAAGACTACATTATGAGAAGGCAGAAACTTAAACAGAACAAAAAAAAATATAAAATATCAATTGTTTTTAATTAGAACAAGTGCTTCTCCTCCTCTCAATGTAACTAATATAAATAATTATTATATAAATAATTTTATATTAAAAGAAACAAACTAGTCTATTATTATTATTAGTATTATTTACTGCTATTAATATACACTCTTT